CACTTTTCTCAGTTTCGCACCCAATTTTGAAGAAGAGCAGCCCGGGGAAGATGGTCTGAGGGTTTCCCACGCTTGTTCCTCTACCACAACCTCTCCAGAAGACTTTCGGCTCGCCGCATGTTTAGAATGCCTCCATACCGCACGGACAGTATACATTTAAAAACATCCATTCCTTCTCCGGGATTCGAACACGGGTCCTTCAAAACGGCAGTAAGCGTCGCTAAACACTATCCCGTTTGGGCAGCTTACCAATATTTAGCGGTCTTAATCCCCTCGTCCATTGGTGTAAGTAGAGGTATGTCTTCCTAAAGGGCTTTCTGGGAGAAGCTGGTACGTATTCACGTTACACGTGAGGAAAACCATCCATGGAGCTTGCCCGTTCACCTAGAATCAAACCAAAACCAGATCGAACTGTTAGTTTTCAGCGGTTTTATCCACTCGGGCACTGATAGGGCCTGATATGAATGAGAAAAATGGAGAGAATATTAAAGGTAGGCCAGGTCTAAACATCTAATGTGTCGAAACCATATCAAAGGCCTCATACAGCCCACCAGCGGCCGAGCGGTAAAATCGCTGAACGCTGGTAGTTCCGACCAGTGTTCGAATCCAGGCAAACGTGCTGATTGCATTGGCGTTTTCATGGTTTTTTCCATGTGTAACGTATACACGAGCCAGTTTCTCTTAGAAAGTCCTCTACGAAGGCATCCCTCCCCTTAAGCAGGTATTCCTAGCGTGCTTTGCCATAATAAATTAAACCAAATCAAATCACACGAAGGCACTCATTCAAAATAAATAAATAAGTAAAATAATAGTAAATAAAAGGTAAATAATGAATGATTAATATAAAATAGACTATAAAGAGATGAATAAAAATAAATTAAATTAATAATAAATAAAGTAACGCATTATTAAGTCAAACGAAATGCTAAAGAAAATTAAAAGGGTCTATATTAATAATAACGAGGCTTAATATCGAGGACAAAATTAAAGTAAATATTTTGACCAGTAACTCGAGGTCAGATAATTCTTTTGCTCATTTTTGAAAGGGAAACTCTCAAAGGGAGTTTAATTTATTTAAAATCTCTTTCAGCTGACAAGCGCAACATATAAAAAATCTTCCTGAAGAAATAGCATTTCCAAATGGAAAAGGGGGGGGAGAATAGTTGCAGGAGTTTTCAAGTTTTCCAGCGTATTTTGTTGTTCAGAAGGAAAGTAAAACATGTATTCAGTAGCTAGTATCGGTGTCATCTTTACAAACTAAAAAAAAAAAAAACTTAATTTATAACAGAATTTTCTGCTAATGTTATGACTCACTTATTGAAGAAAGTAATGAGCTCAGGTAATTTGGGGTTTCGGCTGGAATTACAATTGCGATGAAAAACGGAGAACTACGAGAGCCGGAATCTGGTGGTATCAGGATGAATTTAACTCCTAGGATCTGTGCTTAGGAAAATGCTCTCACCCAATACAGTTTTTATTTTAGAAAAGCACTCAAGGACTATCTGCTTAAGGGAAGGGTGCCTTCGTGGATGACTTTCTAAGGGAAATGCCTCGTAAACAAGCTATACATAGGGAATATCACCAAATCGCCGAGCAGCCGGCCCGTTCGCCGGGATTCGAACCCAAGATTAGGATTATGCAAACTGAGAGATTTAGGCTTTAATTTGACTGCGATATTTCTTTATTCATATTTAGGAATTATCTCTAAAAGTGGCTTGCTGTACGAAATCAAATTAATATTCTTTTGCGTATCCTGAAAGTATCCTGATAATATGACTAAACTTCCAGCCGCTAAATTTTTATTTGGCCGCTAAACTAACACAGTTGTTAAAAGGCAGTAAAATTTATCTTCGAACCGACCTGATCGGTATATAGTTTAGCGTTGCTGGCTGCCGTATCTCTGAAGTTGAAAACGTGAATCTTTGCGTCATTTAAAACATTTTTGGAACTGGTAGTACATGTCTGCGACCAATAGTTGCTAAAGGCAGGATAAAGACTTTTATGGACATGTGTATATTGACGGAAAGGAATAAATCTGTACGAATTTAATAAACCTCGTTTTATTCAGAATTATATCGAAGGTTGCAGGTGTAATGATAATTAAGTGATTGACATTAAAGACGAGTAGAACTATGTTATTTGGCTATCATATCTGTCTGTTTGAGGTTCAGCTTGTAAGTTTTAGATTGTGGTATTTTAGGACTGAGTAAATTAATTAGGTTTCAGTTTCAAGAATCGAAATGGAGTTTTATGCGATGATTATGTGTAAAAATGCAATTTTAAAAGATAATTACATATCTCTCATTTACTGTGATCAGATATGAAGGCGATTGATTAAAATTAATTGAAAAACGTATGTTGTTGCAAAATAAAACTCAGGATTGATTATATAAAATCTTCCAATTTCTCAAACATAGACCCCGCTTACTACGGGATTAAGAATAACAAAATATATGTATGTATATCGCCTCACGGCAGTTTCCTCGCGTTTTCTTGGAATCAATATTTTTCCTCTCAATCCATGTGAAATCTCGCCAATCTAATTACCATTTGGCAGACTGTCGTACAGTGACTTAAAAAAAGGACTGATAGGAGATTTTCAAACATTCAGGAATAAAAATTCAGATGTTAATCCAAAACTAATTAATTTTATTGTTCGAGCTGTCTAAAACCATACTAAATCCATTATGATGAGTATAATTAACTAACATTTATAAATAAACGAAACATTTTAAATATCTCACCTTTAAATATGTGATATTAAGATCAAAATTATGGGGACAATGAGGTAACAAATGTGATAAACAGCCAGATCTGTCAGACTTTTCTTGTAAAATGTCTGGAACAAGGATTTTAAACTTGGAAAAAATACAGCTTAAGAAAAATAAACCTAGAAACATTCCGAGGTTCCTTTTGACACGAGAAACCTCACAATCTTTCTTTGGAACCAAGCAAAATCTCCAAGAAAAATGGATAAACTATTGAATGGTAAGAAAATCTGTTATTCTTTATGTAATTTTCAAATATGTTAAAACAAACAGTTCGATCGTTTTGTTTGAAAAACTAAACACGAACAGGAAAGCCAAAGCATTTCATTGAATACCGCGAAAAGTGGATCGTTAGAAATATTATTTTTAATCCTAAAATCAGTGCAATCAAATTGACTTTAGAAGTTCATGGGATTTTAATAAGTTTGCTAATTAGAAATTTTCATGAATATTTTAACAAAATATAATTTGTCATGGTCGAATTACTAGAAGCATAGAAATTTTCGCAGCAAAGAAAACCCAAGAATAAGATTACAAATTGCTACGACCTATGTTAAAAAGCGTCAAAATTTTCGAAATTCAGTTATAGCTGTAGATGAAAATAAATTCAACTTTTCTGTAGTGACGGAAATCAAATGAAAATTAAAAAAAAAAAAAAAACTAATCGTGAACGTCAAACGAAGAATCATTCTCCTTTAGTAAAACATGATAGAGATGGTCAGATGGCTTCAGTAAAAAATGATAGATATGGCCAGATGGCTTCAGTAAAATATGATAGAGATGGCCATGATAGTCGATGCAAGTTTTTGCAGCTTTGAAAAACCTATACTTGATTGAAGACAAAATAAATAAATTTATGTATTTAAATATCTTAAGCCGAACCGTGAAACAAACTACTTAAAAATAAAATGAGCTTATTGTTGCTTTACGAACTTCACTAGGGCGATGATTCTAAGCATAATTCTGTTATTCGCAAACTGTGGCCTTTATATCATTTTCCACGTGTAATCAAAACGCCTGCGTAAGGTCCAGACCTCAGCCCTATTGAGCCTATTTGGTATCAAGGGCGAGACAATTTTAAAATTTCCAGTGGAAGTGAACTTAGAAATAAATGTCACTACAAAATAGAAAAAAAATATATGAAATCCTCTATTAAAATTTTGGAAATCTATGCACATTATTAAAATATTGATTAGTGTTTTAAGAACGAAAAATGTTTGTATGTTCCGATATTTTTTTACCATTACTTTCTCTTTTGTGCGCAAGCGTGTGTAATTTGATATTTATATAACATTACTTTCAAGATTTGTTAAATTGTATTTATCCTTAATATATGGCTTGTAAGAAAAGTATTTCTTTTAAGTTAAATATTCAACCATTCTTTCAACAAATGTTTAAAAATTTATTGTCCCCAAACACTTTATGACTCACTGTACAGGTATGTATCAGGCTTAATTTCTTGGCAAAATCATTTTCCCCCGCATTTACGTAATGAGTAATGACATTACACAACAGGAAAAAGGTTAGAATTTCCTGTTTCAGACGTATACATCTCCAACGCCTTTCTTAAACGGTCATAAAAAAAGGCAAATAAATATGTTAATCAGTAATAAATAACTAATTTCTAAAAATGAAATGTATGCCGAAATATGTTTGACAAAACAGGTAAAAGTTTAAGATACGAATTTAATTTAGAATATGAAGTTTGTGGAATCACTTCGCAAAATAATGCACCTTCAGAAACACTAATTTCTTTGAACACTGGGTTTACATCTTGGATTGGATTCTAAGAAAAGAACATAGGTTTGTATGATTTTTCCTTGACTGTAATACAAATATTAGTCCACTAAAACGTCATCTAAGAAAATGCCCTGTAAAATTTGATTTTAGACAAATAAATTTAGTTAAATCAATGAAATATTTACGTTTGGTACTTAGAAAAAAAGAAATAATTGTTAAATATTTATTCTTCAGAAATTTTCTGCGAACATTTGTTTTCAAAGAGGAAACAATGTTTTGTAGAACAATTTAAAATTTTTCTTTAAAACTAATCTCCGTCTTTGTAAAATGAGTACGAACAAATTAAATGCTCGAATATATAGTTGTTCTCCAGATATACTAAATATTTTGTATTCATATGCTATCCCAAATTTCCCAGGTCATAGTTGTTTTCTATTGTCTACAGGCACCTGCCTTAAAATAAACACAGTTTTCGTTGCTCCCTCTGTGTGCGTTGAAATGAAGCTTTCATACTTATTAAAGTGGCAACAGTGATTTCCTACAAGTTTAAATACCGAGTGGCTTACCAACTTCGTTCCTGTCTGATGTAAGATGGAGGTGAGTGTGTACTTTTTTTCCCTTGCGTTTCTTTTTTTATTTTAAACATTATAGTGTTGTATTTGGAGTTCTACAACTCCGTTCAGAGCACTTAAAGTAGATATCGTTGTACTTGAAATTTACTGTAAATTGTAGCTCTGAGGTTGTATATATGCTTTTTAAAGTGATTTTAAATCATCTGCTGTCAAAGAGCTACTTCAGTGAGTGGGGTTTAACCATTAAGTGCAATCATACATTTATCTTGCTTTCTATTAGTATCACTTTTTGTCTTTGAAAGAATTCAAGTGAGTTTTAATTTCAACACGAAACGTAGGAACTTGATAAAAAATTCTAATTAAAAATCTGATGACTGAGCTTATTGGGTATTTTAATGCGGGTTTGTTCTAAGCTGCTAATTCAAAATTATCTCAAATCAGCAATATTATATTGGGCCATCAGAGTTTTAAGTCGTTCTTATCTGGTGAATTTTCATAAAAGATGCCTACCAATATGATTTATTGTTGCGAAAGGATAAATCCAACATCAGTGCGACTCACCACTGGCTGAGAGGATAAGACTGCTGAACACTGGTAATTTGGTCCAGGTTAAAATAACAGCTTCAAGAGTGGTTTCATGGATTTTCCTAAGAGTAAAATAAATAAGTTTTCCTTAGAATGTCTTTTACGAGGACATGTCCTCCTTGCTTTTTTATGCAACTATCTCCCGTATGTTTTCTCTTAATCTGCTAACCTAACCCCAATCGGTGCTAATTTGCACTGGGTTATAGATGTCTATTTTCAACAAAAAAATTTTAAATTGCATGAAGTTTGTTAAAAGCAGTTTAGATTTGTAATATACTGAATGTTAAAAAGTTTTAAATTTACTTGACTTTTATAGAAGCCAATTAAAAGTTTATAGCTCTCTTCATGTCTGTCCTAAGTACATGGCAGTTTTCGTAAAAGTTTATAGTGGAGGATTTTTCCTACGTACACAACATTCGTGTTCTTAGCTTTCATCAATCAAGCTAATCTAACCTAGAAGTATTCCATAACGACATCCTTTCCGTTATACAGATGGCCCTCATGTGCTTTTTGTAGTCGAATAATTGAAAATATCTGTTCTGCTGCTGTATCAAGAAGACAATGCGTCTGATCTTTACAATATGGTAACTGGTAGTTTGGCGACATTTTGGAGGCGATAAAGGTTACTACCTGGGACTTTGGTAATAATGTGAGCAGTACTCAGTTCCGATTACGCATTATTTTGTGTGAGGGAAATGAGAGATCATGGGATATGGCATGTGATATTAATGGACGAATTACGGTTCTTTAATCGGAAAAGGGGGAAAATCGGGAAAAAATCTGGAAATTTTGTATTTGCCTTTATTCTGTGTTGTGTGAAACAGTGTTCGTTAATTTTTGGATCCCATGGCCCTAACTAAAGTGAATTCGAAATGGGTATTTAGTGGAATTGAAAGGCGTAGTAATAAGTGTTTCTTTAAGGTTGTGCGAGATAGAAGTAAAGATGTTTTATTAAATTATTTATTTTACCTGGTACCTTGGTGTGAACTATAAGTATGATTTTAAAGATCCTGAAACAGAAATAAGAAAAGTTTATTGGACACGTAATGAAGGTTCTGAAGAATAGGTAAGTTAGTATTTTTAATTATTTGAGGATATTATTTTTATGCATTGTTCTAAATGTAAGGTGGAAGTAAAGTAATTTGCGTAAACGTGCATGGAAATAATTTAAATATTTGACACTAAGTATTTGTAACAATTTGTAATGAAGTAAAGGTATGAATTAGTTAGTGACGTTTGTAATATAATAGATAATGTAGAGGTAAAAGTTTTTGGATATTTTATTTATTTTATACGGGGAAATGTTCATATTTGGAAAGGGTATGTACTTTTTCGCGATCAGGTAATTTCATATATGTTCTTTTTACCGGGTTTAAAGATTCAGAAAATTGTTATGCATTTTCGTGAAATTTTTCTAATTTATGAGAAAAAAGAAAGCAGTGTACATGGATATAGTGAAGAGTGTGCGCAATGCCATTTTGTGCAATTCTGGGATGTTTTTTTTAAGTAAAAATAAGTCGACGTGTACATGGTTTAGTGATATTTCAATTAAATGATAGTTATTTTGTGAATTTTATGTTTGTAGGAATTTGGTATACGTTTAAGTTGAAGTAAACGTGCATGGAAATAATTTAAATATTTGACACTAAGTATTTGTAATGCTTGCGGTATGAATTCGTTGGTGACGTGTATAATATAATAGATGATTTAGAGGTAAAAGTTTTTGGATATTTTATTTATTTTATGTGGAAATGTTAATATTTGGAAAGGGTATAAACTTTTTCCCGATCAGGTAATTTCATATGTTCTTTTTACCGGTTTTAAAGATTCAGAAAATTGTCATGTATTTTCGTGAAATTTTTCTAATTTATGAAAAAAAAGCAGTGTACATGGATATAGTGAAGAGTGTGCGCAATGCCATTTTTGTGTAATTCTGGGATGTTTAAGTAAAAATAAGTCGGCGTGTACATGGTTTATGTGTATGTGTTATTTTGAAAAACGCGTTAGGAGTATGGTATTGTGCACTTTAATTTTGCAGTGAATATTTGTCATGATGAAGTAGTTTTGTTAGATAAAATTTCTAGCATAAGTGTAATTCGGCTAGTAGATTGTTGGAAGAAGTGTTCAGTAGATAAAAAGAAAAGAAACATGTCTTTACTTCGTGAAGACAAAATGGCGGTGGGAAAAACAAAATAGAGGGTTGCTGTAGGAGAGTTGGTCGCCAAATTTTTGCCAAAAATTCGCCAAGTTACCATAATGTAAAGATCAACCGACAATGCTTTGGTGACTCGTTAGATATTGTTTAGCTTGCAAGCAACTACTTCCAGTAAAATATATAGAGAAAAGTTTGTAAAATATTGGTTAAGATAACGTAGCAGAAATGCATCAGCGCTGTGTGAATGCCCTCTTACGTGGTTAAATCGATCAACCACACTGTTTGTCATTAGTTCAAAAAAATGTAATAAGTTGGATAAAGCCGATAAAAGCAATTTTGTAGATGATCGTTTAAATTTGATTTTGCAAACAGTGACCAGCTCAAACTCTCCGAAAATTTAAAAGGAGGAGTAAGCCAGGAATAATTGGCCGCAATAAATTGCCAAAGTTACATATAGAAAAAAATTAACTACGTATGTGTAGAGGGGGCGAAATTTTAGTGAATGAATTAACGTTGGAAGATTTTCTCATCTACAATAATACTTGAACAAATTGCTTCTTAAATTTTCGAGGAATTAAGTCGCTCCGTGCTGAAAGTTTACTGTCTGTGTAAAAATAATATAAATTAAACCAATATTTTGGCCTGTGGGTTAGGATTTTGATTACGTTGAGGGTTGAATTCACTTAGTGGTGCAAACAGTCTCATGTATTAAAACTATCTAAAATACGTGAAGCACAAAAAATGAGTAACATATATATTGTCGAGCTCTCTGTTGCTTTAAAATTCTCTTAGTGTTAAATACGAATATTTCATATTTTGTAACTGGAGATAAGATGGCGTTTTATTAACTATTTTTTAATTAGAAGCTGAATAAAATACGGATGCATTTTCATAAACTCTTTGTTAATCAAAATCTGAATAAAATACGGATAATTTTCATTACAGTGTTTCACAATTAAGGTTTATACGCCTATATGTAGCCGAGGGAATAAGACAGCTGAATATTGGTTTTTTGGCTGGAATTCAAATCCCCTTTTTTTCATGTGTAAAGTGCCATTTACTTAGAAAACCCTTATGAAGGCATCTCTCCCTTAGGAAGATGGCCCTCGTATTCTTTACTTTAATCCAAGCTTATAAGGTGTGGGGCTTTAAATGCAAACTAACGCGTATCTTTGGAGATAAGATGCTGAATATTTCCATGTTCAGTATTTCAACGATTAAATTCGCAACATTTTTATTTGTAAGAGATTTTTAAAAAGTAAATTATCTAAAAGATGCGAAATTATGACAGTATTAAACTTTAAATCCAGACAATATGTGAGCAATCGGAACATCTTGATCAGTAAAAATTGAGAAATGATTTTGCAAAGGAAAAAAAAGAATTTTTAATAAAAAAGGGAATTTGTCTACCTAGTTGCAAAACCTTTCACTTCAGTAATGCACAGATTTTAAGTATTTCAATTTCTCCTTGTTGAAAAAGATTCTCTTAAGATATACTTTGGTCCCTTTTCGAATGGCATTCTGAAATTCTTTTAATTAAAATATCCTTGTCCAAAGAAGTTATTCCTAGACATCACGTCCGTAACAAAGATGTTGCATTTAGGATAATTTTTGAAATTTTACCTCTGAAAATATGCCATATCCGCAATTTATACAGAAACCACTGAAATACAATCTACGGTAGCGTAAATATGCACCGGTCTACGGAAATCCATTTTAATTTCCGGAATTTAATAATAAAGACCGAAGTATTTCAAGCTATGAAACTGATTTTTCTGCAGTTTGGCTCTTCATTCAAAGTGGGATATCTTTATGAAATATTTAATAATCCTTAAATTTTATGAAATGGAAAATGCATTTTAATGAAAATCTGATAATACGTATTCAAAAATTGTTTCCGTTCTTGGAAACCCAGAATTGCACTAGTTTTCAACATTCGCTGTACTTTTTACGTAGTTTTTCTTCCTAGCTTCCACAAAACGTATCTGCTGTAGAAAATATTAGGTTTGTGTAAAATTTATATCGGATGTGAAAATTGTTTGAGCTGAATATCCCTCGTGTGCTTTGCCGTATTCATATGACCACTAACCTTATGTGTCTGAGTATCCCGTATAAAGATCGTGCAAAATTCTATTATAGATAAGTTTTTCTTTAAAATATTTTTAAAAATTGGGTAGTTGAAGCTTTTTAAACCCGTAAGCTATAGCAATACTGGGTGGCCGAAGATAAACAGAATCCAAAGCAAGTAAAGAACACATGAACTGTAAGCCAATATTACCGCATAG